TTTTGCAAGTTTAAGTGAACCTAGAAAGAGAGAGAGAGAGAGAGAGAGAGAGAGAGAGAGAGAGAGAGAGAGAGAGAGAGAGAGAGAGTTCTCTGAAAAACATGGATGGAAATAGGTCAAGAGCAAAAATAAAATGAGATGATCCAGACCAGGGATGCTGGTGGTCTAGACTTGGGTGATGAAAGTTAAGGAGATACAAGAGACAAGATAGATTCTAGAAATATTTTAAAAGGCAAAATGAGGTCGGTGAGATAGCTCAGTGGTCTAAAGCACCTGTTTAGGCAAGCTTAGGCAGGTGCAGGGGACTGCAGTTCAATCCCTAGCACTATGTACTACACCAGCCCCAGCCTGAGGGCTTGCTGAGCCAGCCAATAAAACAAACAAACAAACAAGAAAACAAAAAGAAAGTTAAAATGTTGAAGACTTATTATTGAGTTGAAAGTCAGAGAGAGGAGTAAAAAATGACTAAACACTAACTTACATAATTGAGTCAATGGTAGTAACACTAACTGAAATAAAAAATATAGTTTCCTGAATAGGAAGTTTGTGCATCAGTAAAGTAATTATATTTTGGATTTTTTTTTAGTTCAAGGCCCATGCAGAATATTAAGATGGAAAATTTAGAACAAAGTTTGATGCACAAGACTGAGGTTTAAAGGGAGAAAACTATCCTGAAGCCACGGAGTTAAGAACCATCGACATTCAATTTGTAGTTCAATGGCCAAGAATGAGATCACCCAGAATGGTATGTGTGGCATAAACAGTGGATCAAAGCAGGATCCTAGCAAATACCAATAATTAAGGGACAGAGAGAGGCAAAAGGAATTATCAGACAGTGGAAGAAATTAAAATCTAGGATAAGATGGTAGAAAATAAAATCTTGACTTCCTGGTTGGATTCAAGTTAAAACATAAAGACTAAAACCTCTTCAGAAAATTGTAGATGACAGGAAGAGCTGAGAGAACCAGTAGCTGAAGCAAAGAAGTGGCATTTGGAGAGTGGAGAGTAAAGTTGTAGGAAGACTGTCATGAATAACCAATGCTACAAAAAAGTAATTGCAGGCCAGGACTGAGGACTGAAGGCAGATTGCTAAGACACTATAAAGGAAATCCACAGTACATTAATATAGCACGGTGAGTATTATTCATTATTTTAAGAAGTTTAATGTAAATGAGATGAAAAGGAAAGGGAAGAAAAACAGTTTAGAAAATCAAAGCAAAGAGAAAGAGGTGAACAATCTGGAAACCCGCTAGAAAGGCTAGTAGGGGCCCTGTCTATGATGTCAAGTGAGATGTCTGTCAAGATACCTGTGAATTTGTGAAGTCATATGGGAAAGACACAATGAAGGGGAGAGCTTGAAGTTATTCAAGCAAAAGGGGATCAGTGTGGGAGAAAAATATTTCAGGAGCTCAGATATTAATTAATTAAATTGGACTAAGTACAACATATAACTGGTGACCTTATTACATGATAAAACATGGAAATATTGGTTATAACTCAGATCGATAGGCTGAAAGAATTTGAGACCTTGAACAAGTAGTGCTGTCCACTTTGTTGGAGAAGATGCCAGGAAGAGGGTAAACTTGAGCAGCCTTAAGGGAATATATAGCCCTAGACACCTGCTAATCCAGCTGCCAAGAATCAAGGGAGATGTATCACTTCTTACTTTGTTTACAGTCTTCCTTCCAGTACATAGGAATATTTTATCTTACTTTAAATTGGCATTCTTACCTGAGTGCAGGCCCATTCCAATTCGGACTGGCACCTCTGGCATATGCCGCATTTTAAAGGTGCCCACAGAGCTCAGGATATCCAAGAACATATTTGCAATCTCAGTTGCATGCCTACTGCCATTCCTCTTTGGGAGGCCTGAGGCTACCATGTAGGCATCTCCAATGGTCTCTACCTGAGAACCAGAAGAATTTAAATCAGTAGTAAACATTAGTATATCTGCCTTCCTGAGAAATTATAACCTACAACTGCTTTGTAGATGCCAACAAGAGCTGAATATTTGAAAATGAAAGGAAATCTGTGTTCCTCATCTTCTTCACAAAAGTGGGCACACTGTTTCAGGCAATCGGTAAATTGAAAGTTTTCAAGTACATCCAGAAGATATAAGAAGAAAGACATCTATAAAATCAGTCAGTCAGGATAGATTGTTGCAAATTTGGATCCAGTTTAAAATCTGGGTTTTCAGAGATGCAGGAGAGGCCAGACTCTTGGTGTTCAGGTAGATACACACTTCTTGTGGGCAATCAGAACTAAGGAGACCAAGCACAGCCAGTGCCAGGCACATGGACTAAGCAGAGAAATCAGCAATGTGGACGTGTCTGAAACAGTTGTGAGGAGACAGCAGCTGGGCTCTGAAGAGCTTCACTAACAGAAAAGCAAACCCAGTCCCCATATCTAGAGCCAAGATCAGCTCCATACCCAGCACAATTCCCATGGCAAACTTTACTGGAGTACACAGCACATTACTGGGATCCAATATAGATATTATGACAGAACTATAAATACCAGAGGCATTTTACTACTTTTATTCTCCCTTGTTTGTCTGATTGGCTATCCTTTTCCTGTCTGATGGAAGGTCATCTTTTTTGTCTTATATTTTGTGATTATTTTGTTTTGGAATTTTTTTTCGATTTTTTTTCTTTGTGTATTTAGTACAGGGTCTCACTACACAAGTCAGACTTGCAGTGATCCTCCTGTTTTCAGCCTCCCAAGCACTGGGGTTACAGGTGAACATCACCACGCCCAGTCTTAATCACTGTCTCACTGGACCCTGGGCTGGGGCCAGGATAGAACACCAGAGATTGAATCCCAATCCTTGCATCTGCCTAAGCAGGCATGTTAATCCACTGAGCTACCTGGCCAGATCTTGGAAGTTTTTAAGAGAATAAAAAAAAAATAGCTTACAATAGATTATTTCTTTTCTCTTAGGTTTACTTTTTTCCTTCTTTTCTTTTCTAGTTTTTTTCTCTTTTCTTTACTTTTTTACTGTTTCAGTTTCTTGCCTATCATTTTCTTCCTCTTCTTTTTTTTTTTTTTGGTGGAACCAGGGATTGAACTCAGGCCCTTGAGCTTGCTAGAGAAGCGCTTATTCCACTGAGCCATCTCCCCAGCCCCTCATTTTCTTCTAATCATCCTCTTTCTTCTGTCAACTACTTTTTAAATTTAAACTTTCAAGTGAGCAAATGTCATCTCTTTCTATTTTAACTACACCTTCACATCTCATTTCATTCTTTCTTTCCTTGTTCCACCGTTTTCCCAAAACTCAGGTGATCACTCTTTTAGCTCCAGCTTTCACTAGACTATATTTGACTTCATTCATTACTCTATCCTGTCCCCTACACATGCTCACCCCCCCACCCTGTGCACAAGGGTATAACCATCCCACTAAGTGGAAAAACACATACAACTACATGGTATATTTTTTATTTTGTTACATAACTATATTCTTTCCGCTGCTTTTTGTCGTGGAAATATCTTCATTCTACATTAGTTTTTGAAAGAAAGCTTTTTAGTGTATATCAGTCTGGGTTGGAAGTTGTTTTCTTTCACAACTTAAAATACTTCACTCCAAGCTCTTCTTAACTTGAAGGTTTATGTTGAAAAGTCAACCGTGATTCTAATGGGTTTTCTCTTATAGATAATCTATGAATAATTTGACATACAAATAAATGAAGCACATAGAATATGAAACAGCCATGACTGAAATAAAACTACACCAAGATGTATAATATTCAACATTTCAAAAATTCAGCACAATAACAAAATATTAAAAGCAACAAAAGAAATGAAATAGATTACCTATAAAGGAAAACCCATTAGAATCACGGTTGACTTTTCAACATAAACCTTCAAGTTAAGAAAAGCTTGGAAAAGATGTAGCTGAAAGAATATAGTCCTATAGTTGGTGGTAGTAGGTTAATGGTCATCATAGTTTGTCAGTAATTAAGCTATATTGAAATCATTGTTATTACTAAATGTACTGTTTTAGGCAGAACATCATACATGTTATAACCAACTCTTCTCCTCTGTATGATAATGCTGTTATTATATGGGATCATAATCACTGCCACAACCCAGTAACAAAGGATTGGATACTGAGCCAAATAATAACTTTGCATCCTTTATAATTTGAGATTGCTTCTTGGTGTTTTGGCTAAAGTAAAGTGTACAAACTGGGAAGGTAGATTCTTGGGATAACTGTAAAAAATAACCTGCATGTAGAGAACAACCTTGAAAAACAGACATCTCCTAGGAAATCCTGAGTACTAATGATAAAGCTATCTAACATAAGAAATGGGAAAGAATCAACATATAAAACAATAAAATTGAAAGGAGAAAATAAAATATGACCACATGCAGAAGCAAAATGCAACCCCAGACCCTAGCTTACCCAAGACAAGCCCGGAACACAATAAGATAGACAAAATGGAAGTCAGATACTCGAAATTATTGAAATGATAACACCAGACGTGAAACAAACAAGAGCAAAGAGCTACAAAGAAAGTAATCTCTGAAGTACAGAAACAAATGTTGCTTAAAATCTTACATATGTATATTAGAGATATTAAGTCAGGCACAGATAAAAATACATGAGCTTAGAAAAATGATAGAAACTAAAACTGCCCAACACAGAAATAAATGGAATCCATGTAACAAACGCAAACAAAAATCGCTGAATTTGAACCTTTATTTAAAGTATATGCAACAGATTAAAGGAGAGAACAACGTATCAGATCTTGAAGACAAAATTGCAGCTAGTGATTATGAAAAGAAAGGTATTTTTAAAATAGCAAGAGACAGTGAAAAATCTATCCAACAGCTACAAGATGAAGTAAAAAAACAATAACAAGGTAGACTGGGGTAAATGAGAAAGTAGGATATGGCAAGAAAAAAAAGCAAGAAAAAACTCTTAACAGAAATACTGGAAAAACTTCCCGAGTATGAATGAATAATTTGACGTACAAATAAATAAAGCACATAGAACATGAAAGAGCCATGACTGAAGTAAAACTATACCAAGATGTATAATATTCAATATTTCAAAAATTCAGCACAATAAGAAAATATTAAAAGCAACTAAGGAAAAGAACTAGATTATCTATAAAGGAAAACCCATTTGAATCACGGTTGACTTTTCAACATAAACCTTCAAGTTAAGAAGAACTTGGAGTGAAGTACTTTAAGTTGTGAAAGAAAACAACTTCCAACCCAGACTGATATACACTAAAAAGCTATCCTTCAAAACTAATGGAGAATAAAGATATTTCCACTACAAAAAGCAGCTGAAAGAATTCTTAACCACCAAACCAACCCTAGAAAGAGTGCTGAAATGTATTATAAGCAGAGACAAAATTGAAACAACCTGGCAGGTAAAACAAACAGAAGAGAAAGGTGGGAACCAACAACAGAAAAATATCATGACAAAGATAAGACAATACACACATACATCAGTTATAACTATCAATGTAAATGGACACAATTCTACAATCAAAAGAAACAGACTGGCAGAATGGATCAAGAAACAAGATCCAATAATACGCTGTATACAATAATCATATCCATGCTCATCACCATGCACAAAACTACAGTCAAATGGCTCAAAGATTTAAATATTAAAACTGAAAACATTCTCTCAGGCTTTCACAGAGAACACATTGGCCAAGCAATGGCCATGACTCATCCACATGGCTGACACTGACAAAGGTTCTACAATCTGAGGTACAGGATCTCAGCATAAATCCTGAGGGGATTTCACTGACCTTATCAGACCCAAAAGCTACAACTCTTGTTGCATAGGTTCTGCTTTACCTTGGTCTTAACCATCCAACAGTAAAGTATAAAAACAAAGTATAAGAAGTAAAGCCATGGTGTTATGCTGAGCTGTAGGGGACTCAGATCAACAATTTCTGACATTGCCAGTGAAGCAGAAGACCCAATACTATTATGGACTACTGAATTCTTTTAGAATATTTTGCTGAGTTTACACATCTATAATATTTAAATGATGGAACTTAATAAAAAAGGGGATACAGATGAATGTCTATTTGGTGTCTGTGTATTCAAAGTGGTTAAGATAGATATATAGTTACATTCTCTTAATGAATAGAGGGATTTGTTCTAATGGTGTTTGTAATTGGGATATTAAGTCCACATCTTGTACAGCAATTAACCACTAGGAAGAATGTACACAATGTGTTAATTATTGAAACTGTCCTACCAATTTGATTTGAAACTGTCTCATTGCTATTTGTTTCTCAATAAAATTATGGAAAAAAATTAAAAAATAAAAACTGAAACACTAAATCTTCTGGAAGAGAAAGTAAGTAGAAACCTTAAGGACATAGAGGCAGGTAAAGAGTTCATGAACAAGAATCAAACTGCATGGGAAATACTACAAAGAATCAACAATTGAGATCTCATCTTTTGGAAAAGTTTCTGCACATCAAAAGAGGCAACCAACAGAATAAAAAGGAATTCCTTGAACTAGGAAAACTTATAGCAAACTATTCTTCACAGAAAGGACTCCTATCTAGAACATATAAAAATTTTTAGAAAATGGAGCCTCAAACATTCAAAGTCCCAGTACAGAATGGGCATCTGAGATGAATATACATATCACAAATGAAGAGATACAAATGACAAATAAGCATATGGAAAAATGTTCAACATCACTGGTCAGTCAAGAAACACAAGTTAAAGCAATGCTGAGATACCATCTTCCATCAGAAAGAATGGCTATCAAGAAGTTGACCAATAGCAAATGGTGGAGAGGCTGTGGGGAAAAAAAGAACACTTCTCCACTCTTGGTGGGAATGCAGGCTGGTACAATCATTATGGAAATCAATATGGAGATGCCTCAGAAAGCTACCTTTGGAGGTCACATTCAAGCCAGAT